ATGTTTGCAAATAAATAACCAAAGAAGTCGAAAGTCAACCAATCATTTAATGCAATCCATTGTTGAATATAATATTGATATCATATTTGCTCAAGAAGTCTATGCCATTAATAACAAGGTCTGTGGGTTTCCACTAAATTATCGTGTTTTATATAATTCAATACAAAAACCTAAAACAGCTATTATTGTTACAAACAATACATTAAATCCAATTCTTATTCAATCACTATCTGATAGCAACATAACAACTGTTTCAATAGATTTTATTAACAAAAATGTTATTTTATTTAATGTATATTTAGAGCCAGATTTAAGTGTTGGTGATTTTGAGTTGCGTTTAATTCAGTTAAAAAATGCTATTCAAAAATTAAAACCAGTTTATTATATCATTTGCGGCGATTTCAACGCCCATTCAAATCAATGGTTTGATACTAGAAATGACAGTAAAGGCAATAAAGTCTGTGATTTTGTCGCGGAAAACAATTTAATGATTTTAAACAATAATCAAAATATACCAACATTTGAGTCAAACATTGGCGGCAAGTCTTCTATCGATATAACACTAGTTTCACAACAATTTGCACATTTCATTAATGATTGGGCTGTTTTGCCAGACATTTCACACTCTGATCACAATTACATTACATTTAATTTAATGTTAAAATCGGAGAGAATTTTATATAAATCTACTGTAATTTATAAGACACTAATCGCTGACTGGAATAGTATTAGTAATGAATACAAATCCTTTATTCAAACTATTCATACAAACATTGAAAATATTAATAACACTCAAAAAGTTAATGAATGTGTAAATTATTTAATGAATAGATTAACAAATATTTGTGACAAATATATACCGAGAATGAGACACAATACTAGGCTTAAGACAAACAAGTGGTGGACAACTGAATTGTCTCAACTCAAGGGACAAGTATTCAATGCTAAGAGAAAATACCGGAGATGTAGGACAACAAATAGACAAACATTATATGAATCTTATAATTCTTTGAAAATTAGTTACAATAAACTTATGGATAAAACAAAGCGAGAAAAATGGGATCAATTTGTAACAGAGAGTACACGTGATAACCCATGGAATATCGTTTATAAGATATCCAAAGACAAAATTAATTCACAAATAGCTTATGAATTGACAGATAATAGCAATCAATTAATAGTCAAGTCTCAAGAAATTGCCACTCATTTACTCAATAATTTGTTCCCAACTGATTGTGCAGACAATGATGTCGACCACCACTCGATGATTAGATATATATCTCAAACTACTTATGAATCGGTAAACGATATGCCGTTTACTTTGGAAGAAGTTAACGATATAGTAATGTCACAAAATATACATAAGGCCCCGGGTTTTGATGGCCTAACAGCTGATATAATTCAATTTATACACAACATTGACAAAACAGTATTGCATAAATTATATAATAAATGTCTATATTATCAATGTTTTCCTGATGTATGGAAAAAATCTATTGTGAAAGTTATTCCCAAACCAAACAAAACTGATTACACAAAAAGCGATTCTTATCGCCCGATAAGTTTGATTCCTATTTTGGGCAAAATTTACGAAAAACTTTTCATTAATAGAGTTGTATATAATTTAAAATCAAATAATAAGCTGAATAGCAATCAATACGGTTTTACTTCTCAAACATCAACATTACATGCACTCAAATCAGTAGTAAATTTTGTTCAAAACGGGTTCACACAAAAAGGTTACTCACTTATTATTTCACTTGATATATCGGGTGCTTTTAATTACTGTTGGTTTCCTAAAATATTATACCAATTAAGAACTAAAAATTGCCCCAAAAATCTATATTATGTTATAAAATCCTATTTTGAGAACAGAGAAGCAGAGATTTGGTATTTAAATAAAAAATACAAACGAGAAATCACTGTCGGGTGTCCTCAGGGCAGCGCCTGTGCCCCAAACCTATGGACAATAAGTTTTGATGACATTATGTCATTGTCTAGTGATAGTAATGTAATCATTGAATGTTTTGCGGACGACACTATCGTAAAGATATTTTCCGATAACATAGACACTCTTGAAATGAAAGCCAATGATATATTAAGTAAAATAGAAAATTATGGTAAAAATAATAAACTAATATTTAATGCTAACAAAACACAAGCGGTTTTATTTACACGTAAACGCAATTACAGACAAATTAATATAAATTTTTGTGGTAATCAAATTGAATTGAAAAATGATTTTAAACATTTGGGTGTTACTATAGACTCCAAACTTAGTTGGAGAGCACATTCTAGCCATATATGTAAAAAAGTATCACAATTTAGTAATGTTTTGCTTAATTTTGCTAAAAACAAATATGGTTTAAACAGTAAATCGCTGTATATTATATACACTAGTGCTGTATTACCTATGATATCATACGGTGCGCCGATATGGGCGCCGGCGATAAACCGCAAGTATTTTATTGAACCGCTAATTAAAATTCAAAGACGATTTGCTCTACGAATAGCCCGATGTTATCGTACGGTCTCTACAAACGCGGCCAACATTTTGGCAAATCTAATACCAATTGATCTTCACTTAAAAGGCATAGCAATTGAATGGTTATTGTATAACAACATTGAGAGCCCACTGTTTGACTACTATTTCAACGGCACAGCGATTGATGCGAATCAAATCCAACACAACATCAAAACAACAAATCAAAGTCATATTGGTTTCAGACATTCAATTAAAATAATTCAAGAATTACCTCAAGAATCAACTGTAAATGTGCTAAATATATACATCGGAGGCGTATCGACAGTGAGAGGAACTGGCGGTTCATATATTATATACAATGAAAATCACACACCAATTGATGGAAAATTAAAACTATCTCAAAACTGCACACCATTTCAAGCAAAGTGTAAATCTATTGAATTTGCATTAAATGTTTTAATTGACTGCAATATAAGTGCCAAAATAGTAATAATTAATTTGAGTGACTCTTCTATTATTAAGGCTATAAGTAATTACAATTCATTGAATCCATTAATTTATAGTATTTATGAACAATACTATCGTTTACTTGAATATAACTGTGAAGTGTTTATGAGAAATGTGTTAATAAATAGTGAACAACAAATTAATGTTAATAATATAGCAAAATCTGCAATCAATCTAAATAACAGTAATGTTTATAATTTGATCGTAAAATCAAAAGTTAAATCATTAATCAGAGACAAGAATATTAGGGAATGGAATGAACGGTGGATTCATTCAGACACTGGTTTACACACAAAGAGATTCTTCCCCACAGTCTATGACAGACAAAAAGTTAACACATTCTTTGATAACGATTACTATTTGTCGCAAATTCTCACAAATCACGGGTCATTCGCAGTGTATTTGAAACGATTTCACATCTCATTCAACGACATGTGCGGCAAATGTGGAGAAGAAGGCGACGATACTATCCATCGATTATTTGACTGCAAATACTTCGAGAGTGAGAGAAATGCTTTCAAAGCAGTTATTGAGAGCAACGGCTATAACTGGCGACAAGACTTATCTATATTTATTTTAAATAACAATTATAATCATTTTGTAGAATATTGTAAAATTTTAATGAATGATATCTTCTAATTATTTAATTTTATAAAAACAAACAATGTTTATAATTATCATTATCTAGATTTCAAACAAATGTATAGCCCTTTAAAGACAGTGTATAAAAAGGGCGAAACTATTATCAGAAATAAAACAAATTTAATCGAAAAAAAAATCAGTTTTATCTTAAATAATGATCTTGTTATATTATTTGCAAATACTTATAAGTAATATAATTATATAATAGAAGTATCTACATTAGTATAATTTAATTTAACTGTCAAAATCCGGGTTATGGTGATAAAATGTTGGCATATTTTGTATATTGGTATACTGTACACCTTCTATAGTTACTTTATATAGTACATTAATTACAACATAAATGAAGTATTAAATTAGCATTAAAGTTATAATTGAAATCAATTTGTTATATAATGTATTTAGTAACAGGGTTGACAAGGTAAATGGACGTTTCTATTTTGACATGGTTATTGAATCACCAAGGCAATTATTTAACCCTATTTATAGGATATTATAATAGATTATTTATGGTAATTAAGCTACAATTATAATATTAAATAAAGTTTATTTTAATTGTTATTGGTTATAAAATTTTAAATATTAATCCCTAAGCAAGAAATATATAATCTAATAATTGATTTGTAATCAATATAATATAATAATTATCTACATAAAAACTATATATTTAAAACTTATCAAATATTTAATCAATTTCTGTACACAGAATTTTATCAATTTCTAAATAATAATAATCAGGTTAAAATGTTTTATAAACATTATTATATTTATTAATACCATAAAAGTCATTAATTGCATCTGTATTACAATAAAAAGTTTTTAAGCACATTCAAAATAACATTGAATATTTTAGACACAAATAAATTAGTTTTATAGAAAAAGCTAAATAAAAATTTACAAAGTTTAAAAATATAATAAATTAATTTAAAACATTACAATTGAAGCCATTTATTTGATAAATATAAAGCATTATATACTTGTAGTACACAGTTTTAATAATATTTTACAGTATTAAACAAATTAATTATATTTGGTTAACAACTTTTCAGTTTTATTAATAAATAAACATTATAACATCAACAAAATAATCAAATAAATTAATATTTTATATATTTGTTTATGAATAAAAAACAGATTATTTAATGCTCGAAAAAATGATAACAATTTACTTAATTTTTTATGTCATAAAACAATCACTATAATTAATTTTACAACAATTTATCATTAAACAAAAGTATTATCAAAACAATAAAAGTAATTAAAAATTTATAATAAATAATTGCAATTTAAACGACATAAAACTGCAATCGCGTGATTCGGTTACCATATAGACAGTGATATTTAACTAAAAACATTTAATTAATTAAGCCAATTTGCTAATCAACCACGATCGACCAGCAGCGACGCCCACGTTGGCGTACGCGGCCGGGTATACAGTGGTGTCGGCCGGGCAGTTGCGGATACCCCAGGACACAATACCAACCAATTTGCCACCAGACATCAACGGTCCGCCAGAATCACCCTGGTTAAACACATTAATAAAACATTTAATAATAGGCAATTGTATAAAATGTAAAAATTAGCACAATGTTATCGGTATAAAACTGAGCTACGTACATTGCAACCAGTAGACGATTTGTGCTTGCTGCAAATCATTTGGGCAGTGACCTGGATCTGTGTGCCGTATATTTTGGCGCACTCGGCCGACGAGACGATCTCAAACTGTTGGTACTGCAGGAGGGCTGGCGATGAGCCGGAGTCGCCGCCCCGGGTGTTACCCCAGCCGGTCAGCTGACAGGGGGCGCCGTTGGCCGGTTCGCTGTCGGCCAGTTGAACAGTGTCCACACGTCCGGGCACTTTGACCGTGGGTTGGGACAGTTTGAGCACCGAGTAGTCGTTGTCGAATTGGGGAGTGTTGTACTTCTCGTGTTGTCTCACTTCGGCGACGGCCACCGCTTTGTCCAATGAGTTCACATTTAGACCGCCGTATTTCACGGTCAAATCCTCCTTTGCAAATCTGTTATGGTGATTTACATTAGTCAATTAATTAGTTGTTTTTGACCAATGCTAGTCTCATAAAGCATTATGCTGTTGTTTTGTAGGTTTTTTAAAAATATTTTGCAAACTGTAACTATAAATATCATACGTTTTATTTTTGTTTAAATAATTAACACAATTGTAAACATATTGGTTAACAAATTAACTAGTATATTTTGCAACTATTAAGTACAACAAGTATATAATGCAGAAAAAACCAGCAGAAAAAAATAACTCAATAACAGCTCTAGCAAAGTGTTTATAAAATGCAAAGTTCATGATGCTAAAATAATCAGATCAATACATACCCATCGGTACAGTGAGCGGCAGTGATGGCAAAGCTGTCACCGTATAGGGAGCAGCCGCAAATGTGCTGGGTGCCAAACCAACCCGACGCCCACAACGAGCACTGGTGTTTGCCCTGCTCTTGGGTGGCCTCCACACCGCCGACAATACGGCCGCCAGCCCTCAGGCCAACCAACTCTAGCCTAGGCTCCAGCGACGCGCCGTTAGCGCCGGCCAAACACAGGGCCAGTAGTGTAACCGCAACTCCTCTCATGTTGTAATATTAATATTAAAAGTTTTAATTATTAATATTTTATGAAGATGATTTTTTGAATGGTATGCGGTCTAGTATTTATACCTAATTTTTAAAGTGTGCTTTTTACATTGATTGTAAAATTTTATATGGCTATTTTTGCAATGATACCTCTGTTATATGGCCATATCCTGATTGTTATCAGGGTGATTTCTATGTCAAGGCGCGTTTGGTGGTAATTTTAATGCTATTGTTAATCTTATCTGGGTAATTAATTAATAAATTAGTAATAATTAAAATAACAGTTATTCTATTAATTAAAAAAATTAATAAATTTGTAAATAAGTTAACTAATTGTAAAATAAATGCATAGAATAAAATGT